CGGGTGGATCTTTGTGAGTTCAAGGCCAGCCTGGTCTGCATAGTGAGTTCCAGGCCAGCCCCACTACAGGGAGACCCTGTCTCCAAAAGACAAAAAAAAAATTATTATTTTTAAAAATTTGTGGTATGAGTCCATTGCCTGCATGTATGTATGTAAGTGTAGCTGTGTCATGCAATGCCCACGGAGATCAGAAGAGGGTGTCAGAGTCCCTGGAACTGTAGTTATGGACAGTTGTTGGGCACTATCTGGTTGCTGGAAATTGAACCTGGGTCCTCTGCAAGGGCAACCAGTGCTCTTAACCGCTGAGCCATCCCTCCAGCCCCTTATTTATTATTTTTATGTATTATAAGATTGTATGTATATGCCTGCATGTATGTAATTGCACCCATGTTGTGCAATGCCCATGGAAGTCAGAAGAGGGCATCGGATTCCCTTGGAACTGGAGTTACAGACTGTTGATAGCTGCCAGGTTGGTGCTGGGAACTGAACTCCGGTCCTCTGCAAGAGTAGCCAGTGCTCTTAACTGCTGAGCCACCTCTCTCAAGCCCCTCACCTTATTTCTTGAAACAAGGTCTCTCACTGAGACTTGTGGCTCACTCATTAGGCTAGGCTGGAGGGTTACTGAGCCCCAGGGATCCTCTTGTCTCTGCCTCCCCAGTGCTGGGACATTTTTACACACATCTTGATGATGAGAGTGATTAGAGTATGTGTGATGGTTCTGTCTCAAGACACAGCACCCCAAACATTCTGCCCTTCAGCCCAAAGAAGATACAGGATCAGCATCCTCATTCCACAGAAGAGAGAGTTAAGACCAGATGAAGGTGAGATGGCTCAATGGGTAGAAGTGCTTGCCACGAAAGTCTGGCAATCCGAGTTAGATCCCTGGGACCTATAAAAAGGTGGAAGGAGAGAACCAATCCCACAAAGTTGTTCTCTGACCTCCACATGTCCATGCATGTACATAGATCATGAACCTAAGCCCAACAAACAAAAACAAAGACAAAGGAGGAGAGCCATTCTCCCAAGATCAAGTAATGTTCAAGGAGCCTCTTCTGCAGCTCTGACTGGCTGTCCACATTGAGCCCCATTGAGCCCCATTGCCTGGCTTTGGACACCCAGCCCAGGCAATCACTGCAGCCGAGAGGCAGCCGATCTGGTTGAGAGCCTCAGCTTGTCTCCCGCCTGCTACAGCCTCACTCCCCTCATCTGTAAGATAAACAGCCCCATCCAGATCTGCAGTCCTCGGCCTGAGAGGCTAGGGACACAGTGTTTTCTGCTAGCCTCGTTGCTTCCCCATTAGCGCGGCTGTGAAGCCCCATTTCCCTTGCAGGAAATTAATTTTCCACCTGCTCCCAGCTTTCTCCCTGGGAGGAAGCTGAAGGAGATGCCCAGTCTAAGGTAGGGCCCAACCTTAGTTCAGGGAATCTGACCTCCTGTGTAATCTCCGTCACCACGCTGCTCCAGTGAGCATTTATTGATGCTTTGTAACAGAGCAGCAGGAGCAATATCTGCTTCCCAGACACACCACGGTGAAGAACTTGCCGACAGAGGGTGAACTGAAGGAGCTATGCGGGATAAGCTGTGAGCTCCTCAGAACTGGGCAGGCGGGAGAGTGACTGTGTGAGGCAGGGGTGATGTTCAGGGGAGACTAGAGTACAATGGAGTGGGACTGAGGGTCTCAGACCTTCCGGCTATGGGCTGTAAGACCCCTCAAGGGGTACCTGAGACCCCTGGGCATGAGCTAAGTGGTTCTGCCCACTGAGAGCAGATGAAATAGAGCTGAGAAGTGGAAAACTGAGAGTTGGGGGATGTAGAGCCAGACAGGTGCTGGCTGTGGGTGGATGAGCACCAAGCCCTGGCTTGTGCCCCTGGATAGGCCATGCTGACCACCACGCTGAGGCCCCTGGGTGCCACAGCCCCTTATGTATGTACACACTGTCATAGAGGTCTACAAGGTGGGGAATGTCTGCCACGAGGTTGAAGCTGCCCCACCAGCCAACTACCTCACCCCAGCTCCTTGTATCCAGATTTGGGTGAGGCCTGACTGTTGCTCTCTTCCAGTTCAGAGTAGTCCCCATGCTTCTCTCTGTCATCTCACCAAATCTGGCAAGGTAAAACTGTCATCTTCCTTGATGGCTGGGGAAACTGAGGCACCAGGTGCTGGAGGGTATGGGCAGCTGTCACAGAGCCTGGCTTTAAGGCCCTGTCCTTCCTGGTGGCCTATACAAAAAAGGATGGGCAAGGTGTGAAATGGGCACATGGGAGGTAGTGCGGAACAAGGTTGGGGGGTCATTTGCAGCAAATATATGCAGAGCCCCAGCCAGGGGCATTGCTGTATCTGAGACCCTCATGGCAGTCTGGCCTCTCGGCCTTGGTCCATGTTGATCGCAAATGCAAGAAGACAGGCTCGTCCTCTAGGGCCTCCTGGGGAGCTATTCATCAGGAGAGGCATGTTTCTGTAACCTTCTGACCCCCTACCTCCAACCAGTGACTCAAGAGTAAAATCCCAGTTCAACTGGATGATAGGGGTCTCTGCTCCAGCTAGAATCCCCCAAACACACTATGCGATTCTTGCAGCTGCTGTAACAAGTGACCCCAAATCAGAGACTGAAAACACAAGAAACTAATTGCCTCACTGTTCTGGAAGCCAGGTTGGAAGTTCAAGGGCCAGGCATGGTGGCACACACCTGTAACCCCAGCATTTGGGAAGTAGTGGTAGGAGGATCAGGAGTTCAAGACCAGCTTTGGCTACATAGGGGTTTGAGGCTAGCCTGGGCTACATGGGACCTTGCCTCAAAACAAATAGGGCTGGCAGGATGGCTCAGCAGCATGTAAAAGTTGCTGAGTGGTCTCATGAGTTTAATCCTCAGAACCCACAATGGAAGGAGACCTCCAACTCTGAAAGTTGTTCTCTGTCATCCACATGCATACCATGTTATACATGTACCCATACTTACACACACATCATACACAATAATTAATAATAATGGATTTTTAAATTAAAAAAAAAAGAGAGGACTGGGAGATGGCTGTCAGTAGAGCTTGCTGTACAACAATGAGTACCTGAGTTTGATTCCCAGAACCCATATAAAAAACCCAGCATAGCCGGGCATGGTGGCACACACCTTTAATCCCAGCACTTGGGAGGCAGAGGCAGGCAGATCTCTGTAAGTTCAAGGCCAGCCTGGTCTACATAGTTCCAGGACAGCTGGTCAAAAAGACCAAAAAAAAAAAAAACAAAAAAAAAAAAAAACAAAAAAAAAAACCCAGCAAGGGGGTTACACATCTGCAACCCCAGCAGCAGGAAGTGGGTGGGGATCCCTAAAGCTTATTGGTCAGACAGTCTAGCCAATCAGTGGGCTCCAGATTCAAGGAGAGCCCCTGTCTCAAAAATATAAAGCAGACATTGGAAGTTGACTTCTGCCTTCTGCATACACCCCAAACACAAATGTGAGCCGGCAACTGCACGCACACACACACACGCACACGCACACACACACCACAAAAAAAGGAAGATGGGAAGAAAGGAAGGAAGGGAAGAAGGGAGGAAGGAAGGGAAAAAAAGCTCAAGTGTCAGGTGTGAGCAGGACCATACTCTCTCCCACCCCACCAGGCTCTTCCTGGTGAAGGAGGAGACTCCTCCTTCTCCCCTTGTTTCTGGTGGCTGCTGACAGCCAACTTCGGCTTCGGCTTCGTGGCCCCCAGGGTCACACTCTGTCTTCAGCTTCACGGTGCCTCTTCTCTGAGCCCTTTCCTTTGTGTCTCCTAATAAGGTTTTGGGTCTTAGATTTAATATAACCCCAAATGATCTCTTTATCTCAAGATCTTTATCTTGAATTCATCTGCAAGGCTAAAGCAACCCTTATGACAAGGAAACAAAGCAAAAAGCCTCCCACAATGGGAGGGACGGCTATTGTCACCTCTGGAAACAATCCTTGTGGGGAGTGGAGGGGCTCTGCCAAGGGCCCTAGAAGGTGTACTCCCTGCCAGCAGAGTTGCCAAGGCTGAGGTTGGCATTGCTCTGCCTAGGAGGAGCAAGTCACTCATCCTTCCCAAACCCCTTAACCTCCCACCCCCACCCTGTCCTGGACTCAGCTTCCTCCTCCAGACACTGAGAGTCTTGTTTAGAACTGTGAACTGAAACATCTCCCTGGAGTCCTGGGGTTCCTTGAGGTATGCTTCCTGGGGTTCTCTATACTCTCTAGGCTATTGCAGAAAGGGGCAGAGCAGGGTTTGCAACTACCTGGGCTGAAAACTTCTACTTGGGACCAGGGAGATGACCAGTGGGTAAATGCTTGTTGCCAAGTCTGATGACTTGAGTTCGATAGCCAGGACCCACGTGGTGGAAGGAGAGAACAACCAACTCTTGAAAGTTGTCCTCTGACCTCCACACATGCATGCACTGTAGCACATGCATGTACACATATGCACACACAAAATAAATAAAAGTGAAATCATAATAATTTTAAAAGCTTCTGCTTGGCTCCCACAGTCTGGCTTGGAAGCAAGTTCCCAGTGGCCACCAAGGACAAACATTGCTCAAGACCGCTCTTGTTCCTGAGTGATCCTGTCAGGTTTCTGAGCTCTGAGAGAACAAGGAGCCCATCACCATATCTCCTGGACCTGCACAAAGAGCCCTGAGTGAGTAGAACACCTACCAGGATGTCAGGTCTGCCTTGACCTTTGGCCTGCTGGAGCCTGCAGAGCCCAGGAGTCCCACCATAAGGGCTGATACCTTTCAAAAAGCTTAGGCATGCTCCCTCTCTCTGGCCTTTGGAGAGCCCTTTGCCCTCTTTGAGCTTCAGACTGAGTCTGGCTTGGACTTTGACAAGACTGGCTTGTTTCCCAGGGGTTGGGAGAGGCTCTAAGCCTCTGTTGTTAGTCATTAGGCAAAGAATTTTCTTCAGCTCAGCATCTTTAATATAACATATTCAACCCCAATGTTGGACACTGGGGGATGGAGGTGGAGGGTCTTTTCCCACCTCTAGGCATCAGTTTTCCCCTCTGTCACATAGGAGGGAAGACTTCCCCTGCCTTCTTCACCGGGACACCATGAGGCCAAAAGGCAACAAAATGCATGCTTGAGCCTCTCAGCCATTCAGTACCCAGCACAGAGGACCGTCCAGACTTGCCTTTGAGGCTGTCTGCTCTGTGTCCTGGCCTGTCACTAGCAGAGGACCAGAAAGCCGAGTGGAGCTTGGCTCTGTGACCAGGCAACATCCAAGAACTTCTCAGCCACGTATGGCTTCACTGAACTCTGTCTTGGAAGTGGACAGTTGGTCTGTGGGGGGTTAGGGGGTCAACACTTCCACTTCTGTGCAGGTTCCCGAGACCTTCAAATGTCAGTTGAGGGGGTCTCCCAGTCTAGAAGGCAGAGAGATGAACCCCTTCTTCTCAGGCCCAAAGGTCTTTACTGAGAGCCAAGAAGGCAGCCACATAGGACCTTGAACGAACTGTGGCAGAGGCCTCCGTGGGTCACACGAGAAAAGCCAAAGGTCAGAGCAGTCCAGAGTGCAGAAAAGCCGCAAAGAAACTGATGGGGAGCTGTAGCAGTCCAGCAGGGTGCCGCGAGGGGCCATCTCCTACAGCATCTCTAGCTGTTGGTGTCCAGTGGGGGCTCTGGGGAGGCAGGTCGATTCAGGGTCACCCCAGGGAAGCTAGCGACAAAGCTCTGCCACCTTCTCCTAACCTGTTCCAAGTCCAAAATAGGGAGAGGTCAAGAGAGTGGTGGGCTTGCTTCCGGTGCTGTTCCACCCACAGCCACCAGGTGGAGGTAGATCCCAGAGAGAGAGAAGCACTGTTCCTGGGGGACCCTTCCCCTTAGCCAAAGGAGGTAGGGCAAGAGAGGATGAGGTAAGAGGCACAAAACTTGCCAGAAGTTGCACTGGCGGATCTCCTTGCCTCCGGCCCTTTTCTTTATCATGTTCTTAGTGGAAATGCTTTGAGTTTGTCCCCATTTGATATAATTTGACTATAATTTTGTCATATATACACTTTGTTATGTTGGATATGTTCCTTCAATTCTGAGTTTTTTTTTTTTTTTTTTTTTTTGTCTTTTTGAGACAGGGTCTCCCTATAGACTCCAGCTGACCTGGAACTAACTATGTAGACCTTGAACTCACAGAGATCTGCCTACCTCTGTCTCCAGAGTGCTGGGATTAAAGGCATGCGCCACCACACCTGGCCCATGTTAATCATCTTAAAACAGCTCAGAGTACCTGGCATCATGCCTGCAATTCCACTACTCAGAAGGTGGAAAAGGATCAAGAGTTCCATCCAGGCTAGCCTGAGCTACACAGTGAGACCCTATCTCAAAACAAACACACTTAGCTCCACCTAAGCCTCACTCATTCTTCCTCCTGAAACCTTCAGTGACTCCCCAGTGCCCACAGGAACAATCCCAGCTGCTTTCAAGGCATCTCAAATGCATTCAATCCCTGAGTCTCTTGCCTACCTCTCTTCCAGTCAGCTATCTTCCTGACCTTTTGCTGCCCTAGGCCCCTCTCTTGGAAGCCCCTTAAGCCCCAATAACACCCCCACTTCACCCTGAAGCCTCACCTGTTGGTATTGCCTCAGCCACCGCTGGCTGCCTCGTCCCTGGGTTTGGATCAGCTGCTCTGTGTCTCCCAGGGTCCCTGGAAGCCGCTCGTGAGCAGAGGCCTCTAGCCCTTCCATGCCCTCATCAAGGCCCTGGGATCTGGACTTCTCACGGCCCTGTCTTAGGCTCAGTGCTCTGTGGAGTCGGCCCTCAAGGGACCTCCCCTGGGGCTCCTGGAGCTTCCCATAGCAAGACTGGGGTTCTCGAAAGGACTGACTCCGCCGGCTGGTCCCCATGGTTCTGGAGGCTGTTGTCACTCTGAAGGCCACTGGCTTTCTGAGATGGTCTGGTGCCTCCACCCATCTGATGTGAGATCACCTGGAGGCAAAGGTTGGTCCTGCTGAGGTGGCTGTCATAAACCAAAGGGCAGGCCACAGAGTCCAAGCATCTCTGAGTCACTTCCCCACTGTCTCCTCACTCTGAGGGGCTAGGTAGCCCAGGCTGGCCTCAAACTCATGGTCCTCCTGAGTGCTGGACTGGCTCCAATTGGCTCTCTTTCCTCCTCTCACTCCAGCCAGCCTTCCCTAATCACCCCATCCTCAGAGATCTTGGCCTCCTCTGAACTTGGCCTTGGCTGTCCACAATACACATCTCTTTGACATTAAGCACAGATGCCTCCATTGCAAAATAGTTCAATTAATAAAGACCACAGTAAAATTGTGCAAGGCAGAGGGCTGGAAGAGTGGACAGTCCCTGTTTAATGACTATAGATGTTCAGTGTTACAAGGTTAGCCAGGTGTGGTGGCCAATGCATTTAACCCAGCACTTGAGAGGCAGAGGCAGGCAGGTCTCTGAACTCAAGGCCAGCCTGGTCTACATAGTGAGTTCCAGGTCAGCTGGGGCTACAGGGAGACCCTGTCTCAAAAAGACCAAAAAACAGAAAACAAGCAAGCAAACAAACAAACAAAACAAGGTGACAAGAGTTTTGGAGGTTGCACTAATTTTTAAAAAAATTGGCCCACAGGAGCTTGGGAGATGGCTGTCAGTAATGCATTTGCCTCACAATCAGGAAGACCTAAGTTTGGTTCCCCAACATCTACATAGAAAGGTGGGTGCTGCACACACCTGTAATCCCAGCCTCAGAGAAGCAGAGACAACAGGATCCCTGGGGTTTGCTGGACACCCGGTCTAGCTGAATGAGTGAGCGCCAGGTTCAGTGAAAAACCCTGTCTCCAAAATTAAGGTGAGGGCTGGAGAGATAGCTTACTGCCTGAGTTTGATCCCCAGAACCCACATGGTGGAAGGAGAGAACCGACTCCTGAAAGTTGTCTTCTGACCTCCACATGTACGCCTTAAGACTTGTGTTTGTGTGCATGTTAATGCATACACATAATGAATAAATGAATGTAATTAAAAGTATATATATATATTTTTGGTCTTTTTTTGAGACAGGGTCTCCCTATAGCCGCAGCTGTCCTGGAACTCACTATGTAGACCAGGCTGGCCTTGAACTCACAGAGATCTGCCTGCCTCTGCCTCCCCTCCCGAGTGCTGGGATTAAAGGTGTGTGCCACCACCCCTGGCAAAAGTATATTTTTAAAGGTGGAGAGTGTGAGACTGGAGAGATGCTCAGTGGTTAAGAGCACTGACTGTTCTTGCAGAGGACCCAGGTTCAATTCCCAGCACCCACATAGGGGCTACGAACCATCCTTAACTCCAGTTTCAGGGGACTCTGAAGTCCTCTTCTGACCTCCGTGGCATTGCATGGCACCGGTGCACTCACATACATGCAGGCAGTACACTCATACACATTAAAAATAATAATAATAAAAATAAAAGGTGGAGAGTGATAGAAGAAGACATTTGACATCCACTTCTGGCCTCCTCATGTACATACATTATATGTTCCCACATACATGTACACATACATGTATACTACATAGACATGCAAAGAAACAAATGATTCATACTACATTTTATTTCACTACACCGGATTTTTGTTGCTATTGTTATTTTTAGACAAGGTCTCCTGTAGCCCAGGCTGGCCCCAAACTTGCTGTGTATCAGAGGATAACCTTGAACTCCTAACGCTCTTTCCTCTACCTCCTGAGTTCTTGGATTACAAGTATGGTATCATGCCTGGCATATGTGGTGCTTGGGATGGAACCTAGGGCCTTGTGCATGCTAGACAAGCATTCTACTAACTGTGATACATCCTCAGGCCAGAAAAAAATTTTTTTAATATTTTATTTGTTATTTTTATTTTATGTGTGTGAATGTTTTGTCTACATGTATGTAAGTGCACCCATGTGGCACAATGCTCATGGAAGTCAGAAGAGGGCTTCAGATCCCCTGGAACTGGAATTAGGATGGTTGTTAGCTATATGCTAGCACTACTATGTGGGTGCTGGGAACTGAACCAGGTCCTCTGTAAGAGCAGGTATTGCTCTTTTTTTGCCTTTGGTCTTTTTGAGGCAGTCTCCCTGTAACCCCAACTGGCCTGGAACTTGCTATGTAGACCAGGCTGGCCATGAACTCACAGAGATCCACCTGCATCTGCCTCCTGTGCTGGAATTAAAGATGTATGCCACTATGCCTGGCCAGCAGCCAGTGTTCTTAACCACTGATCCATCTCTCCAGCCCCAGGGGGGGGGAAATTTAAAGGAAAAAGGAAAGAAAAAGAAAGAAAGAAAGAAAGAAAGAGGGAGGGAGGAAGGAAAAAGAAAAAGGAAGGAAGGAAAGAAAGAAAGAAAGAAAGAGGGGGGGAGGAAGGAAAAAGAAAAAGAAGGAAGGAAAGAAAGAAAGAGAAAGAAAGAAAGAAAGAAAGAAAGAAAGAAAGAAAGAAAGAAAGAAAGAAAGAAGAAAGAAAGGGCTATTCAGGGTAGGAGTCAGGAGGCAGCTTAGATTTTTCCAGGCTTAGCTCTGCCTCCAATGTTTTAGCACAGCATGTGGCTAAGAGTTCAGACTCTGGGGACCAACATCCTCTGAGTAAGCTGCAGCGTCATCACTTGAAGCTCTGTGATCTCCTGTGCATCCCTCTCCCTTCAGTCCTTTTATCTGTAACAGGGACATCTGGAGAACTCAAGCCATTGCTATGTGGATTCAATGAAATCCACAGGGCTTGGGACACTACAAGTGCTCGATAGTGAGCTAGCTGATGGAGTTCACTTGTGGTAAGTTCTTCTTTTGGTAACTTTCCTCATCTGAAAAATGGGTTGTTGCACTTGGGAGGCAGAGGCAGGTGGATCTCTATGAGTTCAAGGCAAGCCTGGTCTACATAGTAAGTTCCAGGACAACTGGGGCTACAGGGAGACCCTGTCTCAAAAAGACCCCCCCCCAAAAAAAAGGTTATTTTGAAAATAAAATAGTATCATTAATATGGCTGCCTCTCACAGGGAGGCTACCTGAAGCTGTTCTCTCATGAGCTTGGGGGAAAGAAAAGGGTTTGATGTGGGCCAGAAGATTCGCTAGAACTGTAGAGTTTGAGGGTTGAGTGGCTCCACATACCTGGACCACATTCCTTTTTGTTTTAGGCATCATTTTTTTTTTTTTTTGACAGGGTCTCCCATTTTCCCAGTTGGCCTGGAAGTCACTATGTGAACCATAAATCTGCCTGTCTCTGCCTCCCAAGGGCTTGGATTAAAGGCACGCACCACCATACCCAACATATGTTTTAACCATCATTTTTTAAGTATTAAAAAAAAAACAAAAAAAAACAAGCCAGGGGTGGTGGGGCATGCCTTTAATCCCAGCCCTTGGAAGGCAGAGGCAGGTGGATCTCTGTGAGTTCCAGGCCAGTTGGGGCTACAGGGAGACCCTGTCTCAAAAAGACAAAAAACAAAAACAAAAACCCTACATTTCCAATTAAAAAATTTTTTTAAAATTATTATTTTATGTGTATGAGTGTATTGCCTGCCTGCATGTGTGTGAGTGCATCCGTGTTGTACAATGCATGCCAAGGTTAGAAGAAGGCATTGGATTACCCTGTACTTGGAGTTATGGATGGTGTTAGCTGCCATGTGGGTGCTGGGAATCGAACCAGGGTCCTCCGCAAGAGCAACCAATGCTCTTAACCATTGAGCCATCTCTCCAGCCTCCTACATTTTGAATTCTTTTTTTTATTATTATTTGCTTGAGACAGGCTCTTACTCTGTAGCCTAGGTTGGCCTTGAACTCCTGATCCTCTTGCCTCAGCCTCTCAAGTGCTGAGGTTACAGGTGTGTACCACCATGTTTTTCCCCAGCCTCTATGCGTGCGTGCATGCATGTGTGTGTGTTGTGGTGCTAAGGATCAACTTCATCCCCAGCCCTTTACTGAGCTTTTTTTTCTTTTTGGTCTTTTTGAGACAGGGTTTTCCTGTAGCCTCAGCTGGCCTGGAACTCACTATGTAGACCAGGCTGGACTTGAACTCACAGAGATCTGCCTGCCTCTGCCTCCCAAGCATTGGGATTAAAGGGGTGCACCACCACGCCTGACTTCTTTCTTTTTTTAGACATGGTCTCATGTAACTCAGGCTGGCCTTGAATTTACTATGTAGCTGAGGTTGTCCTTGAACTCTTGATCCTCCCTGCTTCCATCTCATGAGTACTCAGATTACAAGCATGTACCACTAAGCCTTATTTATGCAGTTTTAGGGATTGAATCCAGGGTTTCACACATGCCTGGTAAGCACATTACCAACTGAGCTACATGTCCAACCCTTAATTTAAGCATGTAGTTTTAAAACAATCTCTCCTATCCAAGAGATTGGAAAGATAGAAAAAAAAAAAATACAGTCACCTTACCTTCCTACATTGTCTCCTGCCTGCATCAGGTCAGTTCTCACTCACCTATCCATACCTGACTCTGAGTGACACTTCCCAGGAAGCCTGTTCTACTACCCCTCGGAGGGTGGGTAAGGTGGCTTATCCCTCCTGAAGCCCACCACTGTACACATGCACCTTGCCCTTCCAGACAGAGCATTTCATGAAGGCTTTCCCCTGCTGATCTACTTCACTCCTCCAACCCCCTTTGGGACACAGTCCTGCTATGTAGCCCTAGCTGGCCTCAAACTTGCAGTGACCCTCCTGCCTCTGCCTCCCAAGTGCTGAGATTACAGGCATGTATCATCAAATCCTTTGGTTTGGTTTGGTTTTTATTTGGTTTAACCCAGGCTAGCCTCAAATTCACGGTGTAGCAAGATTGACCTAGAACTCCTGATCCTCCTGCCTTTATCTCCTAAGTGCTGGGATTACAGGTGTGTGCTGCCAACTCCTGGTTTCCCTGTTTTGTTTTAATCATTACTTTTTTAAGCATTT